AGCTTGACATTAATTACTTGCTTAAAAGAATCCAAAGTTACATCAACATCAAAAAAGCGATTTGGCATATACAAAGCTTCTCTAGAGCACTAGAATCTATTATATATGTAAATTGGTTAGATATCCACAGGGAGAACTGAGGACAATTCATTATATCTTGTTATATGGACGTCGAACGATAAACTGTAGTACTGTTTAGAAATTCTTTGTACGCAGGCATAATTACTAAAAATTAATGAATCCTCTGCGTTTACTAGTGATATTTTTAATACCGAGCTTTCGGCCTAAGCGGCCATTATCAAGGTAGAGTACACGTAAGATCGGATTTTAAACAACGCAAAAAACGGAAAGCGCGCGATGAAACACAGCAATACAGCACGAGCTAATTACAATAGATAAAATGTAAAATGAAATTGAATGAAATGAAATGGAGTGAAAAGAAAAGAAATGACAGACTATGACAGTGAAGCAATTAGATATATATAACAAAAAACTTAAATGAACTTAAATAATGGTTTGTATGTTTCTGGTATTGTTCTGCCAGTGTCTCTGTTTGATAGCACTGAGTTGGTATTGGCTATCAGTAGGGCTTCCAGCCACCTCCTTTGATGTCATCTAGGTTCTGTTCTTAGTATTTCAGTCCCATCCCAGTCAATATCATGATGTAGGGTGTTGGCATGCTCGGATAAGGCAGACTTATCGGTGTAAGCCATTCTCACGCTTCTCTGGTGTTCTGTTCGTCGTGTTTGTATAGCGACCTCCCTGTTTCACCAATATAAACTGTAGGACAGTCAGCACAAGGGATTTTATAAACGACTCCGGTTTTCTTTGAGTCTTCAAGCTTATCCTTTAGTGAAATCATGCGCCTAATCGCCGAAAGCTCGGTATTAAAAATATCACTAGTAAACGCAGAGGACTCATTTATTTTTAGTAACTGTAGTACTGTTTAATAGAAATTATCGATAAGGCGGCCAACTCGGCGTAGGTAATTCCCTTTCTACCTAAACTTCACTGAATACTCGGCAAACAACCCATAGATCCTCTATATCATACTCAACCTATACATTTTCTTTTAAACGCGAAAAAAAATGTTATTGACAGACCTTTTTCATTTTTTCAAAGAAGACAGAACATGACGTCAAAAATTTAGCACTCGAGTGTTGTCTCCGTCAYTGCACCTGTTCATGATCACTTTGTTTTTACAGTATTCTGCTATTTGCAATGGTGCATCAATAAGCTAACATGCTAAACAAGCCCGGTAATTGATTTTAACAGTTCTGCTGATAMCTTCAATTAAAATTAAAATTGGARTAATAGGAAMCACTACAGCTGTCTATCTTGTCGATGCCATTTTTTGTGTTAAGATGTTTTTGTTTGCCACTAAAAGTGACTGATTCGACTCAATTCCGGCTTGAGTTGTGGATAAAGTTTAGTACATTTTAGTTGCACAAAAATTATTTTTTTTTGTGGGTATGAACTTGAAGGTTGACTTTTCGTCCTCCTTGAGACTTCAATTTCCATCATAGTCTGTATTTCAATCACAAAAATTTAAATTAAGTCTGTATTATCGATTACAGCTGTATCCGACATYTAATTACACWGAGTTCCACAGAGAACTCACATCAGYGWCCTGTACGCRACCACATCGATAAAATGTGGACTTTTGCATGGCTATTCGTACTGGAATCAGTMGTTATAACAGCAGCAAATGCTGCAACCATCCTCATATTCACCAGAACACGYCGTCTTCACAACAAACAGTACATTATGATTATCAGCCAGGCTGTAGCTGATCTMTTTGTTGGTCTCGTGTCCGTTCCCATGTTYATAGTTTTGACGTTGATCAACAAAAGCGACGCATATTCCTCATTATTCGTATCGGCTTTCTATCTWCAAGATAGTTTMTTTGGCGGAGCTTCCTTATCGGGTTTGGCAGCATTGGCCATTGAACGAGCACATGCAACATACTTTCCATTCAGGCACTCGACATTAGGTAAAGGGCCGTACATCATYGGGATAGTTTTGATGTGGACTGTTCCATTCAYTGTTGTTGTTSCGAGGATAGTTTTTGTGGATARAAGGAAMTTTGAAAATACCGTAATAGCAGTTATTGGAATAATACTTGTCATCATTTGTTGTGCGTATTGTCTTATCGTTCTGAAAGTCCGTTGTATGACCACTCAGACTCATGATGTAACAATCCAAGAAAACAAGAAACTAACTGTCACTCTTGCTGTGGTCACCATTCTGAGYCTGATCATGTGGCTGCCTTTTCAATGCATAGTAGTTACTGGTTATAAACAAGCTGCTTTTTCTTCATTTTATTATTTTACAAAGTTCCTACAATATGGCAACTCGCTAGTCAACTGCATAGTCTACGCGTTGCGTATGAGCGAAATACAGAAAGAAATCTTACGAGTATTCCATTGTTGTCGCAACAACCAAATCTCAATCAACAACAATGAAACTGAACTTGGGAATATCTGACCGAGATTTATGGAAATACAGAAATTTCTRATGCTTATTCATCTTAAACCGTATATAGATTGGCAATTATCAACTATGTACAAATCCGATTATAGTTGCGTGTTGAAAATGATATTTTCCGATTTTAGTCGATTTTAACATTTAGGCGGCCTCTTTTCATCGTTGTTTTGCTCTTTTTGTCGTGTTTTTATGGTGTATCACCCACACATTATCGATGAAAACCAAACGAGCATTTCTGAGCTTACTAGTGTTAACGCAATAGTTTTATAATAGATGTTTTAGTGTGTTTTGCTATCAAATGCCCGATTTCAGGTGTAATTCGACGACACTGGACATGCTGGAGACTACATTAGAAAGTTTTTTTTTATCAACAAATTGTAATGGCATTATATCGCCATCTTTGTTATTCAATAATAAAACAGCGTTTAATAAAACAGCGTTTATTCACTTTGAACTTTAAAATGGGGTTACTGTAATTCTGAATGAATATCCCCTTAACAGCCATCCTAGCAAGTTGACAGGTTGTCAACAAAGTTTTTATTATTCCTTAGGTGTATCTTAAAACATCTAAATATAAATAGGTGGCTTGCTTTCTTCATCAAAGCCCCACGGGACTAATTTTCACGACATTTGCTGCTTGACTACATCCTCTTTTTAGGATTTAAAAATATAAAAGAAAAAATATATCGGAATAAGACTAATTCTTAAAGGAGCGTTCGCGTAAAGGAAATTTCATTTTCAGTAAATGAGCCTCCCCACTTGTAATGCTTCGGATCCGCTACTGCCAAATACTGATCAGTACACTTGARAAATGTTGTTCGATTAAAGTCCGTAAAATATTCATATTATTGTGTTCTTGTATTTTTTTAAATGTTTTTAAATTATGTGTGCAAAAAAAAAAAAATACTGGATTGGATCGAATTAGATGGCAAATGGCGATTGTCGAAGAAGCATCACTGGAAAGAAAAGGAGACATCTCTTTTGCTAATTGATGGGAGAAATTACATGAAATTAGAACTGAATATACTGTAAGCAGTGGCAGATCTAGGATTTTCAAAGCGACGTCCAAATTTTCCACTTCTTTCGCCTTTTGATATATGAGTGTTGTCAACATTTGCAAATGCAGATTTAATAAAAATAATAATAAAACCGGATGCAGCTGACCTCGTTTTCTACCCCTTGAACCGCCAATTGACTTACATTCATGTATGATTGTCAGCGTATAGTATATAACCTCAGTGCGTTTTCAGGGTCAATGCAACCCCTCCCCCTCCCCCCTTTGACAATCGTCATCATCCGTCAACAGTCGTCATCAACGTTTTTTGAAATGAGTGTGTATGGCGGCGTAGAATAATAGACATTCTTAAGGATATTAGTTTTTCAATTTGACTCGACACACAAAGTTACATCAGTTGTCAGTATGGAATMGGTCAGCTTCCTTTATACGGAAGTTACAAACTTTAAAAAGGACAAATAACGGAAATGAAAGATACARTAAAAATACTGATTGAAGAACTCTATTCTATAAATTTTGACATTGCAAACTCATTGGATTCAATAAATGTGTAGGATTGTTTGAAGATCTTTAGGTTATAGATTCAGCCCGATTAGAAAATTTGTGTTTGGAAGCAAAACATCGCTAACAGTCAATAAATTTGTTTACTTAAAAATTTCTATTGAAGTTTAAGCATTTGCGATGATAATTAGAAGGATGAAAAGAAAATTAGCAATATACAAGAATAGAATAGAAAAAGAACTGCCTTGGGCTTCCTGTGTTTAGTTTCGATTGACAGCACTTTTTATGTACAGCGGATTTACACAAACAAGTCAAGACGGTTACAAATGTTTTATTATTTACGAACAAAATATGAAAGAAAAAGTCTCARACTGGTCTGAAAGCACGCTTAAAAACTCACAGTCTTGACTTTAGAAGTGYCGTATGTTTGWATTTTACAAAGATTGAAGACTGGCACAAGATTTTACTTATTTATAGCAAGGATTATCGGCGGGACATTTGAAAATTTGAYATGGCCATGATCGAGACTGTCAAACAAAGACAACGAAATGCATTGGACTTTGGGTTCTGCTACGAGAATCTTTGTGCTTTACAAAACTCTTGTCCATTAGGAACTCTAACAGCGAACTTAGATGAATATATTATCGACTGCAATGCTGATAGAATACGTGCAAATGACTGGGTTCCGATTTGGAATGCTTTGAAGATTAACAAGACTTTGAAAAAGGTCGCGTTTCGAAGCTACTGGCAGCAAACTTTATTTCCAGATAATGGTAAGAATAAATTTTGTTGTAATTATGTTAATATTAGCGTTTGAGTAAGTACATATTAGATATGTATTACATGCATGTTGTAGTTCATACTTCAACACTTCATCTCCWCAACTTTCCATGAAGGTTGTTTTTATTTGGTTTCACGGCGTTTTATAGAATTCTCAGAGCAAAGACTGATGGCCTTGAAAAAGAAAGCACCAACAATTCGAAGCAAAGATACAACTTATAGATTATCCAGGTATGCTAAGAGAAAATACAGTTACTTGGAGTTATTGCAGAATACCCTCATGATCATCTGCTACAAGTATGCAGTAGAACATGAGTGGTGAGTGGTGGGGTATTCTGCAATCTAGCCTTAACATTGATGTTAAATACAGGCAACAGTAGTGTTACATGACTGTATGTAGTATTAATTCGCAAAGGAGTTCAAATGTTTTGTTATTTTGCTATGATCCTGCTTGCGCCAACACATTTACAGATTTTTATAATACTCCCTTTTCGAATTCAAGCRAATAACCGCTGTTTTATTTGACAGCAGATTCAATTACGCAAAGAACTTACAAAACACAAAAGAAAGCACGCGAAAATRTTGTTAGTACAATAGCGCTAACAATTTACATTTTCCCCGAGTTGAGGCTAACCCTGTATTCCCAGAAGGTTCGCACCTTAGGTCTTATGGGAATACAGGGTTAGTCTCAACTCGGGGAAAAGGCAAATTTTCAAGGCTATTGTAATAACGACATTTTCTCATGCTCTCTTTTGTATTTGGTCAGGTCTTTGCGCAAGAGAATCTGTTGTCAAATAAAGCAGCAGTTTTTCGCTATGAACTCGAAACTGGAGTATTGTCACATATTATACATAATAGATATTGATGATTATAAAACCTGTGGGTATCACTTTTCTCTGATATGAAATGATAGTCGTGGGAGATGAAGCAAGYCTTGAAACACAATCACTGTTACACAATATTTGTTTTTATAAAGTGCTTCTGGTATGCCCAATGTTTGATACAAACACCTAGTTTAACCAACCCAGACAGCAATAATTATTATTATATGCCAGACTAAGTTGAATATCAAATTTACAATTATGTTAACATACTTGTAATCATATGAGGAAGTTGCTGATCCTGGTATAATTATTTGGTTGAGTATAGCTGGGCCATAACCTCAAAAATTATCACTTTGATGATACAATGTCATAGAATTTACATGCAAAGTTCAAATAATGCAATAATTTTGTTTATTGTTGCTATGCAATTGTTTCTTGTTAGGTCTTTGAAAGAATGTTTGTGTGTAACTGAAASTCTATCATGTCTTGTGCTGCAAGGAATACCTTTAAGAGAAAAAGACCTGACTTGTCTTGCTAAGGTAGTGCTTGTTACATCCAGATTCCTTAAGATCGTTTCTGTATTCATTGAATACCTTGTTTYTCAATTATATGTTATATATTTAAAAATATCCAATTAGATTTCAGTTTATTTTGCTACCATATGCATGCATTTATCCATTTCTCATTTTTCATATAAATATCTTATTTATCCATTCATTCATTTTATTATTATTTTTCTCCGTCAATTTATGAAATACATTTTATTCCCAATGTTGAAAGTGTGTCATTTTATCCTGGTTCCAGAGGCTTGTCTTTTATTCTTTCACTTATTATGTTATCAAGCCATGAAGCAGCGATTTGTTTCCGTTAATCGTTTTTTGTTGTTTTTTTTTTTCGCCAAGCCTCTGGTCACAAGCGTAGTAAATCTCCCTTTCATGCTGTATGCAAGCAAACCAATCACACATCGGAGTGTTTTAGCTGTCAAACATGTCAAATAAATGAACCAATAAGAGTTCATCACATATAAACAGATCATATTACTCTGATGTGTGATTTGTTCGCTTGAATACAGCATGAAAGTGAGATTTACTACGCTTGAGACCAGAGGCTTGGTGAAAAAAACAAACTGATTAAACTGCGAATCGACTCAACATTCGTAACGAATTGACTGGTAGCGAATTGACTTCAGAATGAATTGACCGGATACCGCTTCGCAGCTCGATCACAATAATAAGCCAAAGAATAAAAGACAAGCCTCTGGAAACAGGGTAGTGTCATTTATGACATTATAATGTTACAAGGGGATGACAAAGAACCACACACTCAGCCATTTATCACTTGAATTCTGTCAAATTGGTGACAGAGGAGTAGAAGGTGAGTAAATACTGAGGATAGAATAACTGGATTTTGCAATCCAAAKGCAGGTGCTTTAGCCTCCCTCCCAGGCAACTCTTGTTTTCTCCTTTGGGCTTCCTTTGTAACTGTCATCTTGGCCGCTAGGGACTAGGGATGAGAAAGGAAAAAGAAGGAGTGTTGTCTGTGGAGGAGGCTGGGCAGACTATACACAGTAATTCCATTTTTTTACCTTTMTGACCTCAGTATTTAGCCTCTGAGCACAGTCCTACAAGCTASACTGTAGGCCCAGAAAACCTGTCTGGGCCACATGCAGGATAAGTTTATTTGACACTTGGTCATTTGTACAGATTTTGTGGTACTCAGTCTTAAAGGCATGACACTAGGCAAATTATTTGTTGTATGGCCATGTCAGTCARCCAGACTAAAAATTGCCCAGCCGTTTTAAATTTTTCTGCATTTTGTGAGCAAAAAACAAATTTTGCCGGTAAATGGTATCTCTGTCCTCTGATATAAACATGGTTGTCAGCCAATCAGAGCATGTGTTATATATCAAAACTTTTATAATTAATAATTAATATTAAGCAACAATAAAAGACAGACAGACAGACATATCTCAGTCTGTAAAAAAAAAGCAGATTTGAATTTCATTAAAAAATAAAAAAATAATTATATCTAAAACAATAATTATATACAAGACATAGATAATGTGCATTCTTCTGTTGATAGAAAATTAGCAGAAATAAGAAAAAAAATTATTGGCTGTCGTTGGTAAATCACATCACATCATCAAGCCGATAAAATCCATACAATGTACATCTCAGTATCAGAAAATTAGAAAATCTCTTCATTGGATATATAATTTTTTTTGCACACTGTTTTATTYATTTATTTTCAGTCCTGTCAAATGCAATCAAGGGTTCACGGTCCATCATGTCTGTTGACTTCACTGGTTGTAGTTTGTCTTGGAAAGGAGCTGAAACGCTGGCTAAAATAATCAAGGTTTGATATCTTTATGATTGATGTTGATCTCTGGCTGTCTTTTTTGAATTGGATGACACTTGCTGGACATATATTACTAATGCTTTAGCTTCTGCTGTAACAAGTTGATTCCATTTTTCTGTGCAATCGTACTCTAAATACACAGATAGCGTAAACATACTGTATGATGAGAACAAAAAAGTAGGCTTCCATTGCATTTTGAAGTATTCTGTGTGTCTCTGTTAGAGTACAGTCTCAAGGAAATGGGCAATGTGCAGCGAYGCCATTTTGTGCAGCAAAGCATGATGGTAGTTGTAATCCATCCTTACACATTTATGAAAGACCCTAACATACATGTATCTCTTGCGATTTTTTTTTATTATTTTTGAAGGACTGGTAATTGCGGACATGAAAAAGAACTACCATAATGCTTTGATGCACAAAATGAGATTGYCTATTGAAATCTACTTGTTTTATATAGTAATGTGTTAAACTGTCGAAAAGGCAACAGAGCGAGCGCACTGGTTCTGRCCAATTAGAGCGCTCGTAAGATTAAACGTCGTACGCGCGTAGTTCACRGTTCTCGATGAAACCAAGATCACATAACCGCTGTAATTGTTTAGGGGTAAAGAACATGTGTTGCTACGCCTATCTCTCTAAGACACCGATATCTTTAAAAGTCTTTACTTATTTCCGGCGATTGTTCCCGCCATACGATAAATGGTGCCCCCCCCCCCCCCCCCAAAAAAAAAAGACACACACACACACGACGGCTGTCATAGTGTCTTTCAGTTATTGCCCTCGCATGCTTAATAGATGTCCTCCTAATAATGTTTCTGCTCTCAAAGTTTCAAGCGACCAGGAGGCATGGTGCTGCCTGGCAAGATAGTCTTCGATATCGCAGGCCAGACTTGGACAGAATGTCAGGTATCAGAAGAATAACAGTGTGTAAAAACCCTCTCATCAATGACAAAGGTGTTGAATTCATCGCTGAAGCTCTGAAAGATGACTTATGGCTTAAAGGTTGGTATTCATGGTAAATTAGTTAATGAAATAAATAGGCCCGTTCATACGTCGATATTTCCCGCGCCTAATCAAATTGCTGACTTGCAGTTCAAGATGGTTGGCAGTATAAATCAATTAACAATTGTGGATTATAATTAGTTCGCGAAACTGAACGAAACCTTCTAATGTCAATGAACTTATTTAGATTAAGAAATGCTCTTAAACTAAACTACAGCATTAGTTTTGACGCGACTAAAGTCCGACGTCTGAACKGTGGCTAAAGTATGTAGGATCAGCAGTTAGAGAATGCAGGGTTTCGTGATGGTGATATTAAATTTTCAAATGTCAAATTTACTTTTCGTAGATTGCAATTATATTAAAATACATGCATCGTATTTTATACAGTGGAAAAATCAATATTGTATCAGACATCAAGGCGTACTAGTTCGATGAGAATTTTAAACATGGACAAAACAATAACAATATAGGTCAAGTCAAAACTTTATTCATGGACAAATACTTCTTAAAAGAGGTCTAGACCACTCTCAGCTATCGAGATTTTGTGCACCCTTGCCAAATGCAACATATATTAAATATATTAAATAATGTATCTGTTGTAAAAAAAGTGAAGATTTGACGACATCCATTTTTTATGAGCTCTCAGAGTTTATCACAAGTGTTTTGATGACGTGGAGTCCAGAACAACCGAAGTGTCAACAAACCAACATCAGAGARCTTTGAGTGCAATAGAGAAGAGTACAACTATGTCTTGCCGAGATTCAACTGTTTACATAGTCGTCACCAAGCCTCCCAAAGAAGTCTTAGCTTTTTTAGCACAGGATGCYCAAACGAAGCTTATAATGCAATTTCGAACCGCTTTAAAATCAAGATTTTTTTATTTGGTGACTTTGTTAATCCGAAAAATTGTTATTGAGGACTTTTAAGTCAATAGTTAATTTTTAAGTTTTAAAAAACTTTAAATCAAAACAATATTTGGCAAGGGTACATAGGCACTTTAATGTTTGCGMTCTGCGCAGCTGTCATCGTTTTTCTACTGTTCAAAACCGAATCCCTTCGGTTGACTACTGGGCTAAAGTCTCATTAGCACGGCCTAGTAAAGGTATCATTTGCATATTAAAACTCGATTCTTTTTTTCGTAGCGTTGGATCTTCAGCAATGCGGTATTTCTACTGTGGGAGCCTTGGCCTTTCAATCTGTTCTTAAATTCAACACAACATTAACAGTTTTAGACCTCAGACTGAACCCACTAATAGGTAAGATTTTTATGATTATAGAATAAAGCAATATGCAGAATACTCCACTTTCGAGTTCATAGCGAAAAACCGCTGCTTTATTTGACAACAGATTCTCTTGCGCAAAGACCTGACCAAACACAAAAGAGAGCACGAGGAAATGCCGTTACTAMAATAGCCTTGAAAATTTGCATTTTCCCTGAGTTGAGACTAACCCTGTATTCCCATAAGACCTAAGGGTACGAACCGCCTGGGAATACAGGGTTAGCCTCAACTCGGTGCAAATTGTTAGTGCTATTGTACTTACAACATTTTCTCGTGCTTTCTTTTGTGTTTGGTAAGTTCTTTGCGTAATTAAAAAATGCGTAAAAAAAATCTTAAAAGTTTCGTGCAAAAGCATGCAACATGTAACATGCAATATAAAACAGATAATAAAAAGAAAAAATATAAGTATCAATTCCGGAGACGATCTTCGAAATTAAAAAATTCCCCGAACTCTTCAGAGGACAAAGGGGGGTGGATAAGAATATAATTGTTGGAGTCCGGGATGAAGGAGGGGGCGTCCGCGTCTAAGTCCCAGTCTTCTAACTGGTTATCTGGTGGCCCCGGGGATGGCCGTACTCTGAAAAGGGGACGAATATTTTGAAGATCGTCTTCAGAATGAGTAATATCAATCCTTGTCCAGCAAACTGGACAGGTTTGGGCTGTTCGCCTTGAGAGCCACGCCAGTAGACAGGTATCGTGGGCGACGTTGTCATTGTGGGGTCGTCCACAACATGGTAACTGTTGAAGGGTTGGCTGGTCCTCCAAACAGATTACGCAGCATAGGGTGGCTGTCATGGTTTGGGCGTTAAACGTTGGTGACGTCGATGGTACTTCCACAATCCGGACAAGGTATGACGTGGTCGCTTTGCTGTACCTCGACGTCTTGTGGTGCTGATCGCGTGGAATCTGGTTTTGTAAGATGGATTAGTGAAAATTGATCGCGTTTATAGCGGTATTGATAACAACAGATGGTGGCAAGAACTATAATGTTAATTATGGAGAAAACCAAGGCGATTGAAGCGAGGATCGWAGCAGTAGGAGTGATATTCATGRTGTGGATCTGTTTGATATCARCCCGAACGCGTCGGAGCTTTGCYGTGAATTCWCCATCTAGACGTTTGAATGTTTCATCCAAAGCCTTAGTGACAGATTTATTGCATTTTAACGGAGGTGGGATATTCAAAGATTGAAAGTGGAGATCCAACGTTGCGTTGTTATAAGATGGAGTCCAAGGAACGAATTTGACTCTCTTTCTTGGAAAGATGGGGAAGTTGATAGATAGAACTGAACGACAAACAACAAATCCCGTTGTTTAGTCGTCAGAAGTGACGTTGCAAGGGATGTGATAGATTGCCAATGGAGACATTTTGAGTGGACCAGTAAGAAAAATTAGATAGTTTGTGCTTTAGCGGAGAGGAAGTAGCAGATTGTAGAAGTCGACTTGAATGCCCGGAAACTATTTATACGATACGCTCGGTTACAAGATTCCTTTGTTGCAGATAATTAATGCATTATTAACTAACAGATCCATAATCCGTAAAACTCAAAATYCAATGAAAATGATGATAGTAAAAATGTCATAAGATAGGTAACATGTACAGGAGATTATTGGCTATAACTAGAAAGTAATGTTAAGCGTTCAGCTGGTACAAGTAACTCAAGGCACAGTTAAAGTTCATGGTCTTAACGCTTGTTTCCAGGTAGTTAACGCTGACATCAGCGATTCCTTTTGCCGTGACTAGTGAATTATAGATTACTTGCAGCAGGAGTCTTATAGAAAAACTTATAAAAAAACTATATAGAAACAAAAGTTATAGAAAAACTTAACCTGCTAGTAGGTAAATATCGTAATGCATTGTTTCGCCAATTTTCCAAATATTGGTAATTTTTTAAATAAATTAATTTGTGGCCCTAAGCAATTTTTGATCAATGTTCTCCTGCTACAGGAGTAGCCGTAATAACAATGTTATCTTCCGATAGATCCAAATGTTTTTTTGTTTTTTTCAAAAGTAATCTTAGCTTTGCAAAAGTGGCTCAAGAAATCTGAACCATGTAAAAMTGGACCCTGAGTCTACTAGAAACGGAAAGGGTTTGTTAGCAACGGGACCTTTGATAAAAACACTTTTTTTTTCGGCTGAAACTAACTGGTGATAGCGTGGTGTTTTACGAGAAAKAATGAGTAACAAAATAAAATTACTCAAATAGAAGCCTTGTTGAATAGATTTAATTGGAAAACATATTCTGGGCATTACAGAAAACASTGTAATAAGGTAGAAGATGACTGTAAAGGCATATGAACTGAAAGAAAAAGAAGATAGAAAACGAATAGAAGGAATGTGGATGAAAACCGAAAAGGCGACAAAACACGAAAGAGATGTATAGGTTAATATAGCAGAAAAGATAGATAGTTATATTTAGGCAAGTGAATGGATTGCAGAGTGCCGTWGGTGAAGCACGTGGTGAAAGGCATTGTGAGAAGGGAAAAAACTTTCCWTGGAAAGTGCTGAAGGAAGGTCAAAGTGTATGGTATTGACTGTCGACTGTCGGACTGTCCAGGCAGTACCCAGTAGAAAGACAAATCTGAATTATGAACATCGCTCTTGGCAGTAGAGCGTTGTTGAGTTGAGAGAAAAGTTGTGTTACTTATAGGTGGTTATGAAGAATGTTTATATGATTAAAAGATATGCCAGGGTTTGTAGATAACAAAGGATGTTAAATGAAGTATCATAATATTTAAAAGAATTACCTGATGGTRTCGTAGTAATAAAAAGTTTGTCCAAGCAACTTTGACCTAGTGAATACATTGATAATAGCGCTTTGTTCTAAATTATGGTGGTACTTGTTTCGGCAGAGCTTTCAGCAGTTGAAATCTTACTRGAAGATTAGTGAATGGTTGATTAGAGCCAAGCGCTTGTTTATATACCAACAAAGGGCTATGTGTAATTACGTGTTTTTCCGTAATTGGTGTTTTCGSCAGGTGACACGAGTGGGTCACTGCATTTAATGGAAATTATTTTCCTGGCCGAGTTGCATGCAGCGCACCCCTTGTATTTGAATTGAATGCAATAGTTTTCTATTTTAGTTGTATATTATTGATTCATAGATATATTGAAAAATGAATATAASACCTCGAAAAAAAGGACAAAAAAAACGCAAGCGCGTGCTTTTTTTGATCGATACTTGTGGATAACGTGTGGCTTTAACGTCACGATCCTGTTCCACGAGGGTTACTTACTAATTAAGTTMCAAAACGCTGATCATTTGACAAATCTCATTTTCCTAGTATCTCTTCAACGATAACAGAAGATGCGAACCTCTAACTATTCCTTGACTTTTAGTCGTCGAGTTTCATTTTGAGGAGAAACTGATCATCGAGTATTTGACTCTCGATGGACCAATATTTGTGCAACAGGTAGCTATGCCAGCTCTTCGGAAAACATTCGGATTTTATGATTCGGAAAGGCTTCGCATTCGAAAGCTTTCGTCAACAGACGCTAAAGCTCGAGTCGTTTTTCCAAAGGTCGTCTGCTGTGTACAATGTGTGTAATGGAGGAAAATGTATCAAAATTATTATGAAAACAAATTAGTAGTAATTTTTTGTATAAGCATGGCAATATTTGGAAATAGGCTGAAACAATGTATCGCAATAATAACCTAGCAGGTTAAGTTAGAGTTTTTCTTTAAGTCACCTGTTGCAAGTATAATTTACTAACGTGGACTTCCTGGAGGTTCTGAGAGTACTTATACAAGTTTAACGCTTTACGTAACTTTCTAATTACAATCATATTCCTCTTCATATGTTACCTATCTTATGATATCATCATTTTGATTGGATTTTGAGTTTTACGGATAATGGATCTGTAAGTGAATAACTAATTAATGACCTGTAACAAAAGAATCTTGTAACATACCTTATCGTATAAATAGATCTCGGAATCATTGTATCTTTGGAGATTAGGGACCACTCTCATAGCTTCGAGATGCTGAGACAACTAGCCGTGTGTTAACGCTACGTTACTTTTACCGGACTAGTCCACCCTTAAATATGGTAGAAACCCATACAAAATATTTACCGTAACAGGTGACTGAAAACTAGACCGACGGAACCTTCCTGTACTTCCGAAATGCGACGTTTTTCATAAACATTGTGATAATTTACATTACAATTCTGAAAACTTTCGACCAATATTTTGATAACTGAAAGGTGACAATGATAGCTCGTAGGAAGATAAATATCACTAGTGAACATAACACATTCGACGTTTCTCTATATATTGAAAACTAAAAAAAAGGTAAAATAAAAAAAGGATATAACAAAATACGTATCTCCGCGTTCCTACGTAATAACCTCTGTGTAATATTTAGCAATATTGCAATATACGTAACAAACTAAACACACTAGGTAAGACCTGCTAAAAATTATATTTGCATGAGTAATTCAAAATGCATATGTACATTAGGGACGTGATGGCATCGGACTTCGGGTCTACAGGCTTSGGTTCGTATGGCAAGCTTWACTCTCTTAACTGATTTCTTGTCTATAAAGCCGCCAAGAGCCAATTGATCTAAAGGAACTCATGCTTGTTCATTKTTTTTAAAGCGCARATTCGCACGCAGAAATGAAGCTTGRCACGTKCAAAATGCGATTGCAAAACGATTAAAAAGAGTGTTGYACATTGTTAGAAYCTTCAATCTATGTAGCGGAAATCTTAGTACTTCTGTATTTTCCTTTGTTCATTTTTT